ACCTTGAGGGATAGAGAGGTGTTTTTTTGTTTTTTTTTGTTTGTTTGTTTTGTTTTTGAAGCAAGAATAGGCTTTTGATTGATCAGCAGGAGCAGGTGGAATCTAGGTGGGCAAGAGAATACAGAGATACTGGTGGGGGGATTGTTTTGGGAAGTGATGTGCACAGGATAATAATAAAAAGAGTAGCTAGCATTTAATGAATGCATACAGTGCCAGCTGGTGTACTGGGTAAGTGCTTTGTATACTTTGTGTTAATTAATCCTCAGCAGTCCAGTCATGTAGGGCTTTTTTTTTTTTAAGGAGCATTTGAAGAAAACTAAGTGACTTGTCCATAGTCAGACAGCTAGTAGGGGCAAACTTAGAATTTGAACCCATGTCTGTAAGACTGTAAAGCTATCTGGCCTAACTGGCCACTTGTTGACAGATGGGAAACATAGGCTGGAGAGTGACAGGCCGTGGACCTGGACAGGTGGGGTGAGGCAGGTTGCAGAGAGCCTCCCATGAGGCTGGCCAGTTGGGTTTTATCACATGAGTTGATTCTAATCATAGTCACTCACAGGGCTTTGCTTTCTCTCCAAAGGCTATACATACTTTTGAAATCCCAGAGGTCTTCAGTCTCCCTGTGGGTCAAGGAGATGTGCAGTATTTAAAGTGGATTGAGGATGGCATGGAAGAGGATTGAGTGGGGAAAGCTTTTTGTGCATTCTGCTGGCTACCTCCAGCGGCTGCCTCCAGCCTTCATCAACTGCACTCTGGGGAAGAGGAGGACACCTTCTACCTCCCAGCATCTCTGGATTCCATGTTCCCGTCGGCACGGAGGAGCTAAAAATGGCCTGTGGAGGCTGAAGGTCTGAGGCTCCTAAAGCTGGAAGAAAAGGCTGGGCCAGTCAGGCCAAGCAAGAATATAGTGTAACTTGTCTCTGAGTGCTTCATGGTTAACGGGGATAAGGGGGCATGAGGGCACCAGGATAGTTACCTGTAGTGACTGTAGGGAAGACGCAGTGAGGGTGAGACTTTTCATCTTGAGTCAGTAGGCCTACCTCAAGTGCCTAGGATGTAATTGCTTTGCTGCTTCTCATGGGGAGGAGTGGCCCTAGTGACCTTGTTTACCTGGAAGAGTGTGGGATGAATGTCTCCTCCTACGGGGACTGGCAAGTGCTTTATCAAAAGGATAAATTGCTAATGGTGGCATTTCATGGATCAGCAGGATTATGTCTCCTTGCTAAAGAGGCTTTTGTTGGTCCTGAATTCTGAGGCGGTGGGACTACGAATGGACTCCATGAACCTGTGTATGACTCAGGGAATATTAGGACTTTGGCACAGCCTCATGGGTTGGGAGTAAGTCTTGGCTCTTCCCTAGCCTGAATGACAGGTATCAGATAATTCTGGTGTTTTGTCAGTGAAGATGTAGATTCTGAGCAAAAAAACTAACCTTTTCACTTGAACACAGAAATAGCCCCAGGAATCGGACAGACCTGTGTCTTTAGGTTTGTTTCATTGAGCCCCAGGGGTTGACAGTAGTACCTTGGGGACTGCCTGCATGGGGATTTTTTTAAAAGCGTTCTTTGTTAAAGGTTTGTAAACCACCCCTCTGAGCCAGTTTTCATTTTATACATTACTGCAGGAAACTGAACTGCATGGAGGTCCAGAAAGTGGGTAGTGCAGGGTGTAGTGCTGATAACTACTGTACTTCTTGGATCTTCGTGCTCCCAAATACCAAATGGAAGACAATCTCTGAGAGTCCTTTGCACAGATCTTGTAGGGACTTTAGGCTGGGGCCTTTGGAAAGTTCCTGAGGATTCCAATGGAGATTTTGAGGGATTATCTTAGAACAACAAAGAGAATGATAATGATGATGTCCCTGCTTTTTGCAACAGATCATGTTGTGCTATATATGCAAACCTGTGTAAAGTAAACCCTATCTAAAATGCGCTGGGGACCCAAGGTGGACTGCCTGTATTGCTTCCAGGATAAAGTCCAATTTCTAGCTCTGGTTTTTATAACCTTGCTTCAGCTCACCTTTTCCATCATTATCCCCTGCATCTCCTCTCCCACGCTGGGAAATGGATGGCTCCACTATACTGTGTGATGTTACTGGTATGTTCATGCCGTCCCCTCTGCCTGGAATGCCCTTCTGCATGAATGCCTGTGAAATGTTGCTGCTCCTTTGTATGGCCTGGCTTCCATGGTTGGCAGGAATCTCTTCTTTTGTGGTATTCCTGCCATCTTTGTGCATCACAGTCAGCTTCGTATTCCTAGATTGTAAGCTGCTTGAGGATAGGGGCATGTCTTGCACCTGTTTGGCAAATTGATGTTTAAAGTATTTAAATAACTAAAGCTCTCTCTACAGTAGATAGTCACTTTTGATTTATGGAATTGGCAAAATTAAACTTTTTTCCTTGAATATTCTTAAAGTGAGACTTAATTCCAAAGGAGATTTTTCTGTCTGTGGCCTTCATTGGGTGGTTTGCTGTTATCAGAAAGCTCTTAGTGGCCTTCCTCTTCCCTGGTGTCAAGGTTGACTGTAATAGGAAATGGGAGGGGAGAGGGCCATTTCTGCCAGGCATTGTCATAGGTTCTTAACATTATATAATCCTTATAATGCAATGTTTTCCTCACTTTACAGATGAAACCTGAGACCAGAGAACATGTAACATGTAAAGTACGTGGCAGAATTAGGATGTGAACCCAACTCTGATTCTAAACCTAATGCTCTTACTCTTTCATTCAGAGGTTCAGTCAGTTCTTTGTAGGCCATAGATCCAGAGAAGCTGCTGTAGCCAACAATAAAGTTGTTAGTTTTTAAAACATCTATATGGTGTTGGTCTGGCACTTAAAAATGTATTGTTTGCTGGGCACGGTGGCTCACACCTGTAATCCCAGCACTTTGGGAGGCCAAGGTGGGCGGATCACGAGGTCAAAAGATCGAGACCATCCTGACCAACATGGTGAAACCCCGTCTCTACTAAAAATTAGCTGGGTGTGGTGGCACATGCCTCTAGTCCCAGCTACTCGGGAGTCTGAGGCAGGCGAATCACTTGAACCCAGGAGGCAGAGGTTGCAGTGAGCCGAGATCTTGCTACTGCACTCCAGCCTGGCAACAGAGCGACACTTCGTCTAAAAAAAAAATAAATGTGTTGTTTACTACTCACCACAGATCTGCAGGAGTTCACTGATCTTTAGGGTCTGCCTTAATGCCAACTTACGTGGTTTGGTCACTATTACAAACCGTCATCCCAGAATGATGATGCAGAGGCTAGGGCTAGGACCCAGACCAGTGTTTCCACGTGGGAATTCCCTCCCAGTATTTCTTCGGAAATGTATGTGTTTTGAATCCATAAACCCTAGAAAAATCAGTTGAGGAAATGAGAAGTATTGTAATTATTCTGTGAATACTAACACTTACCATTATAGAGACATTACTAGTTTGAAAGAATCCAACTTCATCAAATACTAACATACTGAATTGAAGGCTGTAAGAACTGAGACAGGAGTATAGCAGAGAGAAACAGTCACCATCTAATTAGCCCTACTTTGGGTTGCTGTGATGTTATTATGTCTGTATGTCTGGCCATATCAGCTGCTAATGGTGAGTTCTTGCAAATAAAATGATTTGATAAACAACCTAGCATACTTTATACAAATCTTATGGTGTTCTGAGAAATAAACTGTGGAAGCAAAATAAGTTAACAGTCTGGACACGATTGGTTCTATATTCTGTTTACTTTGCTTTAGGATATTCAAATGTTATATTTATTTGAATGCTATCCAATATACGTTGCCTGGTGTCTTCCTGTCTTTTAAATACTCTCTGTACGCTACAGTTCTTTGTAAGTAAAAATAGGCTTAATATGTCTACTTAGTAAACAGAGTGTTTCCAGATACCTATGATAATGAAGAAAAGAGTATAAAGAATGAAGTATTTTAAGAATAACTTATGATTTGGGGGATTTCTGAGAATTCTACTTCCTTGTCCCTAAATTCCAAAGGTAAATGTTAGTTGTGAATTTGGAAATACTAGACTACAGAGAAGCAGGCACTGTCTAGCCTGGGAGGCCCACTGATCTTAGGAGGGTCCATACAGCTGCTTCTTGTAGACCTTGCACTAGAACCCAGGTCTTTTGACACCTGGTGCCACTTTTCATTCCATTCCATTAATTATAGCCCAGAGAATAACCACCGCCCCCCCAACTCCCATTGTGGTTTTATTCTGAGGACAGATAAAAGATTGAAGCTGATGGAGTGGTAGAAAGAAGTGGGAGCCATAGTGAATGAAGACGTTTAAGGGCAGATGTTACCACCACTAAGCCCTTCACTCGGGATTACAGGCTACACTTTACCCCTCAAACTGTAGAATTCAGTGGAATCCATGGCCTTTACCTCTCTATAGATGACCTTTTTCCTACCCCTTCACATCTCCTGTTTTTTTCCTCTCCAAACTGCCCTAGATTTAGAGGTTTATTTTGAAGTAATAATCACACACAGCGAAGTCTCTCCCAACACCTGGGGAGCAGATGTGCTGGGATTATCACTGGCATTTGAAGGGTGAGAAAACTGAAGGAAAGGAATCTGACTAAAGTGGCACAGGTTAGAACTAGCAGAGTCAGGTCTAGAACTCATTTCATATTTCTAGAATTGTGTGATGATGCACTGATAAAGTTCTTTGGTGCCTGGACCTAAGTATTATAGTAGGGTCAATTTCTAAGTTCATTTTCCGTCTTTTACCTCTCAGTGGCCCTCAACTAATGTTTTTTGCCCCCACAGGTCGGGTACTCGCAAAAGATTCCATATTCTCTCTGGCAGTAGGGGTGAGAATGTTGCTGGCAGTGGTAAGAGTGGCAAGGTGGCCAGAGGACAGGGTCCTGCCATTCCTTCTCAGCCTCCAGTAAACCAAGAGCAAAAGCCAGAGCCAATTCCTTCTGATACTCAGCAGCTAATTCATTACAGGGAAGACAGGTGATTGTTCAAAGGGAGCTTTTAAATCATAAAACAGACACATCAATTATAACTTTAACAAATGTTATTAAAAGCAGCAATTAAAAACCATGAATCTTTTTGAAGGTGCAGAGGGTTATAAGGTCAGTTGGCAGTAATGCAGCTATTATCTGGTATGAATGAAATGCTGGGGTGGGCAGTCAGGGTGACCTCATTAGGCTTTGTGCTATCTTCCCAGGTGGTGAAGACACCCTTTCCCCGCTTTTCCCTCTCCAAGCCCAGAGCCTCCCCAGAGCCCAGGTAGGGAAGGTCCAGGTGTACTGTAACAGGATTGCTCGTCCCAGGCTATCTCAGAAGTCTGGAAAGCAGGTGGTTGCTGGGCTCTCTGAAGCCAGGCAGGAAGCTACAAATTGAATCCCAGGTCCCACAGCACCCCTGGGCTAGGGGCTGGCTTCTCAGCTCCCCTTCCACCTGGCCCCAGTTGGCCCCTGTGGCAGCAGCTGTGGGGCTGAGAAGGGGGAAGAACTGGGCCCAATGCCAGCTTATCTATGCCTGGGCTGTGCCAGGGAAGCAGAGGAAAGTGGGTGGGCGGTGCACAGGAGGTGAGGTCCCCCTTAAAAGGCACTGTGGGAGCTGAGGTCTAAGAAGGGGGACATCTAAACTATCTCAGGGACCCCCTGAACGCTCACAGGTAGAGAGGCGTCAGGCCTAGTAATGGAAAAACAGCTCCTGCAGGCCTGCTGCCCCACCAGTGCCTCTTGCTCTACCACCACCTTCGCCTTCCTGCTGGTGGCCTGCAAAACCAGCCAAGCTGGAGGCCACAGCAGCAGTTGGCAAGGCTGGTCCCCATCTGGTGCCCACCCTCCACGTCAAGGCACTTTTGTCCACTTTCCAATCAAGTGAGTCAGTTTCTAATATCTCTGGAAGCAGCAAAACATGAGGGGTCCTCTTCCCCCTCCCAATTTTGGTTTCCCTCCAGATGAGGCAGAATTTGAATGTTGTTCCAAAAATTCTCTTTCAAACCCCCACTGGCAAGGGCTTCCCTTTGACGGAACTGAATGATGCAGGCCCTTTAAAAATTTCAACCTATCCCAAAAAGTGATTGTCCATTTCAGGGCAGGGCAAGGGATATGAAAGAGGGTGAGTCCCCTGTGCTTCCCTATGGAACCAAAGCTGGTTGATGGGCTGAAAGAAGGGGCGGGAGCTGAGCTTTCACATTTAGTTGCAGCACTTGGGCCCTGGAAGTGGGCCAAGAGAAAGCCAAGGGAGGAGCCAGCAGGCCCAGAGGGACTGTGTGGCTCTGTGTGTGAGTACACTTGGGCATGTGATGGTGTGGCCGTGTGGGGCTGTCTGCGTGCCTGGAGCTGAAAGTACAACACATGTGGATGGAAACTTGTGGGAGTGGGTGTATATTGTCTGCTGTATGGTGTCTGGTGGGTCTAGGGGTGGGAGGCACCAGAAACAGGTTTAGCATGACATGGTTTCCCTCCTACCACCACTGCCCAGCCCCGTCCCCCAGGTCTGGAAGGATGCCTCCATTCCAGCAAGGCCAGGCCCAGCTCTATGGAGACTGAGGGGGTGTGGCCAAAGCTGACACTGGCAGCCTTCACTCTCAGCCTGGACCCTGGTGCTGGTGCCTTCTGAGGCAGACCCAGCCCTTCACTCTTCAGATCCTCGCAGGCTTTCACAGGGGCTTTCTCCCACCCTACCACCTCTCTCCAAGGGCAGTGGGGAGTGGCAGGAAAGTGGAAGAGAACAGCGCTGAGTGGCATCCTCTTATCCATCTTCTCCCAGGCTCTCTCAAAGGTGCCTGTTACGTAGTCCCTGGGAGGACTGGCTGCCCCACGGGTCAGGTGTAAAGGGTATCCAGTGGAGGGACAGCTGTGCACACACAGGATGTGCAAACACACCCAAAAAGGGGCGAGAGAGGTCAAGGCACACAACTGGGGACAAAGACCTGGGCCTCAGGAGGAAGGGTCCCAGAGCAGGGGACTCAAGGTCAGAGGAACAGATAAACAGAGTTTGAGGGGTTGTGGAGTGTGTAGAGACACAGGCACAGGGGTAACGAGCCCGAGGAGGCCCTGGAACAGAGCTGGTACAGCAGAGATGGAGGCCTTGGCCTGGCAGGCAGGCAGGGCCTTCTGCCAGGCACTTGCAGCTCTGTCCTGCTTCCTTCTCCCACCCCAGCCTGGAGAAAGCTGGGGAGCCTATGGCTTCTGCTGCTCCTCCTTTGGTTTTCAGGACCCCTGGCACCCCTGGGGGCTAGTCAGTAAGGGGTGGTCCCTTCCCACTCCACCAGGTACTGAACCTTGCCCTCAGGTGTGACCCTCCGAGCCAACACCTGGTACTTCTCCCCACAGGCCAATCGCCCAGCTGCACCAAAGTAGTTGGTGATAGATGACTTGAGGTGGGACAGGGATGAGTCATCTTCACTGATGCTCTCAAATGTGTGGCTGTCAATGCCTTCGTCTGGCCGCTCAGGGACCGAAGCCCCCTCTGCACTGCTGTCCGAGGGGCAGCGTCCATCCAGCTCAGCTGCCCACCGCTTTGCCCGCAGGGGCATGTATGCCTTGGCTGCCAGCTTCCTCTTTCTGCTGCCCACTGTCCATCTGTATCAGGAGTGAGAGAGGAAGATGATGAGAATGAGATAGAACCATCAGGGTAGATTCCTCTCCCTGAGCCCTCCCCTCAGTACCAGGAAAGTGGAAGAGAACAGCGCTGAGCGGCATCCTCTTATCCATCTTCTCCCAGGCTCTCTCAAAGGTGCCTGACATGTAGTCCCTGAGATAATCTATTCCCAAGGCATAGATTATCTCACCAGATCCTCACAAGAGCCCTGCGAGGAGGGAAACTGAAGGTCCAGAGGAGAAAACCAGGTAGGGAGTGGCAGAGCCAGGATTCAAACCTATGAACGTCCAACTCCAAAGCATATGCTCTTACAGCCAGGATCCCAGCACTGCAAAAGCGCAAGAGCACCGTTCTCTGAGCCTCCTGAGGCCATGCAGTGCAGGCGCCCTGCTTATCCTGCCTTGCCGCTCGCCAGACTCGTGGAACTAGACAGGTCACATAGGGCTGGGGGTTAGGGACTGAAGGACCCTATACCCCAGACCCTGGATGGAGAGGTTGACAGACACATACACACACACACACACATACACACACACACACACACACACACACACACAGAGGTGTTAGAGAAATAGACACACAGACACACAGGGCAAGGCACAGATTCAGATGCTTAGAGACAGAAATCGAGACCTGAAGTGCTGGTGAAACCAAAGAAACAGGAAGAAACAGGCCAGGCATGGTGGCACACACCTGTAGTCCCAGCTACTCGGGAGGCTGAGGCATGAGAATCACTTGAGCCTGGCAGGCGGAGGTTGCAGTGAGCTGAGATCATGCCACTGCGCTCTAGTCTGGACAACAGAGCGAGACTGTCTCAAACCAACCAACCAACAAACAGGAAGAAAGAAAAATACAGAGGCAACAGCAGAGGACACCTAGACAGATGTCAAGAGACACAGACTCCAAGACAGATCTCTACAGGTACTATACCATTGTACTTTTTTTTTTTTTTTTTGAGATGGAGTCCCACTCTGTCACCCAAGTTGGAGCACAGTGGCACGATCTCAGCTCACTGCAACCTCCACTTCCCCAGTTCAAGCGATTCTCTTGCCCCAGCCTCCTGAGTAGCTGCGATCACAGGCACGCGCCACCATGTCTGGCTAATTTTTTTTGTATTTGTAGCAGAGGCGAGGTTTCATCATGTTGGCCAGGCTGCTCTCAAACTACTGACCTCAGGTATCTGCCCACCTCGGTCTCCCAAAGTGCTGGGATGACAGGCATGAGCCACAGTGCCTGGCCAGGCATTATACTTTTAATTCTACTTTTGCAAGGGTCTCAAATATCTTAAAATACAGTGCAGCCTGAGTGCAGAGGAAATCCCTGTGCTCGACCACTCCCCATACTGCTGAGGACCAGCTGTTGCCAGACCAGCTGTATTGGAGATAGGCCCTCAGGGATTTCTGTCCCCACTCCTAAATCTTCCACCCTGCAGGATGCCATCTTCTGTCTTCCCCTCTGTCAGGCTTCTAAATAAATGGCTCTTTCCCTTAGAGACTCCAGAAGACAGGCACCATATTCAGACAGCCAAGAATCAAGGTCAGGGAACCTTGTAGTCCAAGAGGCAGAGACATGCAAGCTCATGGCATGCAGAGGCCAAAAGTGAAAGAACCTCTGGTCCAACAACCCCAGAACTGGAATCGTCCAGTGGGAGGTGTTGTACAACCTTCTGCAGCAGGTGAAGCATTCCAAAGGGATGGAACCACGGGAGCCTGAATGCCTGTACTTAGATCCCATCTAAAGCCCCGTGACTCAGAACCAGAGGGTCCGAGAGCCAGACTCACAATTGCAGAAGGCCAGGTACTGCCCGCCAGAGACTGAGACACAGAGAATGACCCACACATTACAGAAGTGGGAAGTGGAGGGGCTGGGAGGAATGATGGTCCTGGCAAAATGTGAACGCCAGACCTCCAGGAAGCTCACCTGGAGTCATAGGAGAGGCTGGTGGAGGCAGAGCCCGAGGTGCTGGCAGCGTCGGTGGAGTCGACATCTGAGAAGAAGGTCTGGCCTGAGCTGGCACTGAGAGGGGCAAGATGGTGAGCCTGCTGGTGGCCCGGCCAGCAAGGTCCTGCCAGCCTGGCCCACAGGGTCCCCTAACATGCATCCTTCATCCCAGTGGAGGCCCATCTTCCCACAGCTGAGCTTCCCACCACCACACCTGTCTGTTTCCTACCCAGCCACCCTTTAACCCTTCAAAGTCCAAGAAGTCAAGAAAACCTCCCAGAGCACCCTTCCCTGGTGGTGACGTAAGCACTGGTGCCAGTAACTCGAGCATGATCCGAGGCACCTGTGCAACACTTCACAGGTCAAGAGTGCTTTCATTTGCATTATCTTGTTTGAGGAAAATAGCTGAGGAGGTTCAGAGAAGTTAAGGAATTTAGATAAAGCAACATAGCTAGTACTGATAAACAGGGTCTGGAGCTCAGGTCTGACTCTAAAGCCCTCCTGTGTCCTCAGGAAAATACTAAATGACCTTTAATAATTTGGGAAATAAAATGATGGCAGATGCAGTTCCTCCCTTGGGCGTACTTAAGTACGGGGTGCTGTGGAATACAAAGGAGGGCATCCAGCTCAGCCTGGGGAGGGTTAGTGAAGCCTTCCTGGAAGAAGCAGGGTCCTGAGTTTTCAGATGGGCTAGGGCAAGGCAAAGGCTATTTCAGGCAGAGGGAGCAACATGAGCAAAGATGAGCAGGCATCAAACAGCATGGTGAATGTGGATAACCATGGGGCGAGGCGGGGAGAAGAAGGAGGGGAGGGCTGGAGAAGAGGGGAGGGCTGGAGAAGTGGGGAGGGCTGTGGTACTCTGGGAACAGGGATGTTATGCTGAAAGCTCTACTGCAAAAAGCCCCTTCAGGCAGACTCGCACAGCAGGGATCCTTTTCACTGGGGGCTTGGCTTTCTGCTTGCTTCCCTCCCTGTCTCCAGAGCAGACTTCTCCGCTAGGTCCCTCACTGATACCTTTTTAAACTTTGAATTTCATCCAGCGTGAAGTCAAATATGCTAGCCAGGTGGTGGTTGGTGCTCCAGGCTGAGGTGAAGTCACTCTGTGGACACAGGAAGGAGAGAGGGAGGGTCAGATAGTGAGTATCAAATCCGCCTCCCACACAGGCTGCCTCCTATCCAGCCAGGGCCGCTGAGGGCTGGGCCCTTCCTAGGGTAAGACCATCACTTTTATTCTAAGTGCTGACCAGGGAGCCAAGTCATCCCAGTTCTAGCCCTGCCTTTGTCTCTAGCTGACTGTATGACCTTCACCTCTCTGGACCTCAGTTACTTCGACTGCAAAATGGGGACAATAACCCCTGCCTTGCTTCACTCTTAAGAGATGTCAGGGCCAGGCGTGGTGGCTCACGCCTGTAATCCCAGCACCTTGGGAGGCCGAGGTGGGCGGCTCACGAGGTCAGGAGATCGAGACCATGCTGGCTAACATGGTGAAACCCTGTCTCTACTAAAAATACAAAAAATTAGCCAGGTGTGGTGGCGGGCGCCTGTAGTCCCAGCTACTCAGGAGGCTGAGGCAGGAGAATGGAGTGAACCCCAGAGGCGGAGCTTGCAGTGAGCCGAGATGGCGCCACTGCACTCCAGCCTGGGTGACAGAGCGAGACTCCGCTTCAAAAAGAAAAAAAAAAAAAAGATGTCAGGAAGTGCAGTAAAATTAAATACTGCTTCTAAACCGCAAAGTGCTGGGACATGAGGCATTGCTAGGATTACTGCCCACAGGGAGGGGGCTTCAGGGAGGAGGTGGGGTTACTGAAGGAGGAAAGAAAGTGCTCTGGAATCCTGGTTCCAGGCTGGGCTCTGCCACTTTGATGTGTGGTCTCAGGAAAGTCACTGCCCCACCCTTCCCTCAGTGTCCCTACCTGGACAGTGGGGACAAGAATATTACCTGCCGTTGTACCCCAACTTTGGGTTCCTGGGAGAACTTGGGGGGAGATAAAGCAGGGGTCTTGGAGTGCCTGGCTTAGCTGTAATAGGGACTGGCTTCTCCTTTAAGGGACATGAGAGAGTTCTCTGGGCCTGGGGGACTTAGTTTTCGGCACAGGAAGCCCTAACATGTGCTGACCCTGTGTATGAAAATGGAGAGTAAGAAAACAAGGAACTAACACTGGGAATAGCATCTTCCAGCAAAAACTTTGATCTTTTTCTTCTATAAACTCGCCTTTTCTGCTGCTGGAATTCGTGAGGCAACAAACTGTGGAGACAGAAGAGGGAGAAGGTGGCCCCGTCAGAGCCTGAGGGCCCTAGGATGGCCCAGAGGGAGGCGCCGCAGGGGCGGGGGTCACAGCAGTTGGGGAGACAGGCTCTGAACACAGCTGCACCTTCACAGGGAAGCCTGGGGAGGAGGGAGAATCCTTGGGGGCAGTAGGGGTGGGAGGGTGTGGAGAGGGTATAGTGGGCAGAAAAAGAAAAGGTGCCTCCCCAGGCACGTGCATCCAGTTGCCCGGCCCCCCAGTGCCAGGATGAGGGGGCTCAGATAAGCCAGGAGGGCGAGGGACCCCTCACACACACTGCCTTCCCCTTCACCTCCTTGCCCAAGTCCTAATCCAGCAAGGCTGGGTCTTCAGATCTGGCTTTTCCTCCCTGCGAGGCAATGAGCGGGCTGTGGTGGTGAAAGGAGTTGGGGATCTGGGATCTGGGATCTGGGATCCTGCTCAGCCACTACCTAGCCCTCTCAGGGTCCTACAGCTGGGACTGGCTGGGTGCAGGTCCTCCTTGCTTGCTTGGAAGCAGAGAAACCGAGTTTGGCGGCAGCCCTGGCCCCTGGGTCCCCGAGCACTGACCCAGGCTTGCTCTTTCCTCTCTTACGCAGCTCAGAGGAGGTGCTGTTCTCATTTGGCAGCAGTCCCTTGTCAGGCAGCAGCTTCCCTGGCGGGTTCGGTGGGACGCGGATGCGCAGGCGGAAGATGCACTTCTTCTTCTTGATCTCCTTGCCGCAGAGGAACCTGGGGGGTGGGCAGCGGGAGGAGGAAGCTCTGGAGTCCATCAGTTCATCCTCCTGGGGAGTGGGGTCAAGCATGACACAAGCCTCTCTGCCTCCCTGGACCCAGAGCTAAAATCCGGATGCCTCTGGAGATGCTGATTTCCTCAAAGCCCATGGGATGCGGGGTTCCAGGTAGAAGATGAGAACACAGCGCGTGCCTCCTCCCTGTGCTTCCTCCTGCACAAGTATGGTTCTTGCTGCTCTTCTCCCTTTTGTTTGCCTCAACCAGCCCAAGGCCACCTCCTGCAGGAAGGCCTCCTCCACCTCACAGTGGAACTCCTGTGGTCAAGATACTGGAACCTACTTCATTCTTTTCTCTGGTTTCCCCAGGAGACTGAAAGCAACACTGGGTGGGCTGCCCTGAGGCTGAAGAAGTGACCCAGACACAGCCCTACCCTCTTTAGTACAAGAGGCCCCCTGCCATCCCAATGGACAGTCCTCCATTAGAAGGGCAGGGGGCCTCTTGTACTGAAGAGCAGGGCTTTGTCTGGGCCCTAAACCATGAGAATGTGGAAGAGAGTGGGTAATTCTGCCTAGAGGTGTCTGGAAGAGTTTCAGGGATGAGGACCTTGTTTTATTCCCCACTATGACCTTAGCACCCAGACAGGCCCGACATAGAACAGCAAATCAATGAATACTTGTTGATGGAACAAATGAGTAAAAAAGACTGAAGCACATCCTAGGCAAAGGGCAGAGCATGAGTAAAAGCACCAGGTGGGAAACCAAGGGCTCAGGATGGCTGGCACCCAGAATACAGAAAGCAAAGGGACAGTGGCAGAGGACACGGGCACAGCCTGGTTTTAAAAGGCCTTGAGTGCCAGGTTCAGGAGCCTTGGCATGCCTCTGTGGTGTGGTGAGGGACGTGACCAGCTGTGTGTACTGAGAACTCTGGATGGGAAGGCAGGGGCTGAGGGATGGGTCAGGAGGCTGTAGCCCACCTCAGATGATGCACCCATCCCTCAGTGCCTGGCCCATAAGGCCTAGATGTCTAGAGCAGGAGGGGCCTTCAGAGAGCAGGGGTGCGGCTCTCCCTACAGAGCTGAGCCCAGTACCAAAATGTACCAGGCTGCTGGGGTGGTTGGAGTGGCTGTGCAAAGGAGGTGGGGTGCTCCCTAGATCTTGGAGAATGGAAATGATTCAGAGAGAAGGGGAGGAGGACCCAGGCAGGGAGCACAGCCTGAGCAAAGGCTATGAGGTAGGAAGAAATCTCACCTGTAGATGGCCCCACCACGCTCCCTCCCCACCCTGCACGCACCGGCTTTTGTAACTATTCAGAGCGTTGAGGAGATGCGGTCCTCGATCTGTCACAGGGGTGCTGGTGAGCTGTGGGAGAACAGGCCAGCAGAACATCAGACCCAGGCACATGGCGCGTGGGGAGGCCCCAGCCCCTACTCCCTCCCTTCCATCTCCTGATGCTTCTGAGTCCTCCAGGTGAGGACCACTGACTCACTCCAGGATCTCAGATAAGCCTTTTCACCTTTCCAAGTTCATTCCCATCTGTAAATGGAGAGAATACCTCCTGACCTAACTGTATTGGGAGCTTTAAAAAGTCCATACCCTTGACCCAGTAATGATACTCCATGGAATCTATCATGGAATCTATGTATCTGCAGATACAACATGAAATGGGAACAAAACTTCACATACAAAACAGTGGCATTGTTTCTAATGGTGGACGAATGGGAAAGAAACTGCCCAACAGGAAGGAAACAAGTAAGCTATGGTAGAAACCAATGCAGCCATTAAATTAGCTGGGCATGGTGGCGGGCGCCTATAATCCCAGCTACTCAGGAGGCTAAGGCAGGAGAATTGCTTGAACCCAGGAGGTGGAGCTTGCAGTGAGCCAAGATAGCACCACTTCACTCCAGCCTGGGCAAAAGAGCGAAACTCCATTTAAAAAAAAAAAAAAAAAAAAGAAGTTTAATGAAGATTCTAATAATATGGAAAAGAATAATGTATACTAAAAATAAGATTATTTAAAATTGCATATACTGTATCATTTAAACCATGAAACAGAAAAAAATATTCATAGAAGAGAGTCAGAAAGGAAATGTACCTATGCATTAGTTCTAGTGATTTCTGGGTGGTGTGATACGGATTTTTTAAAAAGTATACTTCCTTATACTTTTTGGTACTTTAAAGATTTTTCATCAGGAATATGTACAATTAAAAAAAAAATCAGGGCCGGGCACGTGGCTCACGCCTGTAATCCCAGCACTTTGGGAGGCTGAGGTGGGCAGATCATGAGGTCAGGATATCGAGACCATCATGGCTAACACGGTGAAACCTCGTCTCTACTAAAACTACAAAAAATTAGCCAGGGATGGTGGCGGACACCTGTAGTCCCAGCTACTTGGAAGACTGAGGTCGGAGAACGGTGTGAACCCAGGAGGTGGAGCTTGCAGTGAGCTGACATCAAGCCACTGCAGTCCCGCCTGGGTGACAGAGTGAGACTCCATCTCAAAAAAAAAAAAAAAAAAAAAAATCAGAAAAAAAGTTACTAAAAACCAACTCTGTGTGTATCTTTTAAGGTTTTATAATATCTATTTTTTTAAAAAAATTATCAAACACTGTAAATGAAGATGTTATTACATAAAATGTTTTACAAAGCATAAAGGTTATTCTTTTAAAATTCCTTTTCATCGAAGAAGGATTTGGGGCAGTCTATAGAGAAGATGCCTCACTCTGTACGTGATGGAGGGGATTCTAAGGATGTCATTAGGGAAAAGAAGACACAGCACCCCCATGGGAGTGATTAGGGATCACTGGCTCCAGCTATGGCTCAGCCCCAAAGCTCTGCTGACCACAGGCAAGTCACTCTCCAGCTCTGACTCTGAAAGTCTCCGTTTGTTACTTCACTCCATGGATCTGAGGCTCCCAGGCCCCTGGTGACCCACTATTCCGCATAGGATCAGCAGTGGGCAGACCCACTCCATGTTGCATTCTAGCCAGGAAATCTGGAGTGGGTCAAATACTCAGCAGAGAGTTGTTTTCCAGCCAGACTTGATCTAGGGCCTCAGCTCCCCTCCACTGAGCTGGGGAGGCCCCAACCTGCCCACTGTCAAAATCTGGGATTGGGAAGGCCCTTAAAGGACACAGGCTCAGAGGCCTGGACTCAGGGATGCAGCAACTCAAGGGTGAGAGTTGAGACCTCCATCCTAGTCCTGCACTGCGTGGCCCTGGGTAAACCTCTCTGTCTCCTGCCACTGACATCCCACAACCCCACATACCTTGCCAAGCTGCAGGAGTTCCCAGTGGTGGTTGACAAAGGCCAGAATCTCCTCAAAGTCAAAGTACTTCTTCTTGCTCTGTACCCCCAGATTATAGAGGGCCAGGTGAACCACATCCACCCTGGGCAAGGGGGCAAGGAGGTGGGACCAGGTGAGGTGGCAGCCTGCTCAGCCAGCATCACAGCTTTCTGGGTCCAGGCTGAGAGACAGGGGCAGAGCTGGGACCCAGTAGCTGGAAATGGAATCGTTCCAGGAGGGAGGAGGGAGGGGAGAAGCTGGAAGGAGCAGCGGTCGGTTTGGACTAAGCCCCACCCTCTCACCATCGCAGGGGCAGCCTCTCGATGTACTCTGGGCCCTGGTTACACACGGAACAGAAGAACAGGTAAAACCTGTGGGTGGGCAGAGAGGGGGGCCTATGGTGGGAGGGGCTCGGACACCCCCCCAGTCCAGCCCCCTGATCTCCTCACTCGCCACCTGCCTTCCCATAATCTTCTCACTCCCAGGGCTGCTGGCCACTGGGGGGCAAGGACAGAGCAGGACAGGGACTAAGAGATATCCCATATTCCTTCTAGCCCCTGCCCTCAATCCCCTCCCCAATTCTTGCCCTGAAGCGTGGCTGAGTTCAAAGAGAGTGAGCTGAGCTAGGGCTGCCATGGTCACCCTCCTCCCCTCAGAGACAGACACACACACAATCACAAATGACATGAGACACCAACCAAAAGATGCATAACATCAGGTTTGACATCCATAATGACTCCATTAGCTTAGCTCCATCAGCTAGAAGCCATGTTAAGTCGTCCATTTCCCCAGCGGCTTCCGTAACAACCCTGGGCAGGGCTGGCGCAAAGACTGTGTCACCCCTTCTTCCCCAGACACTTAAGAGACTAGGGCGTAGGGAAGGCAGGCATTTATCTAAGGTACGCCACAAATCAATGGCAACTAGGGATGTGGCCCAGAATACTTCTTTATTGCCTCCTGGCCCTGCATAGCTGGGAGATCCCCTACCTTGAGCTGCCTCCATTAAACAGGTAGGCATACATTGTCACAGACCCCCTCTTGTCTGGAGCCTGGCAGTCACCCTGCAGGAGTTGTTGCTGCCATCCCTGCCCCCTCCCTACCACGCCCAAAGCCCAGTTGGACCGAATTAGCACCTACCGGTCTCCAAACATCATGGGCTCATTGAGGCACTGGGTGCAGGCCTCGTGGAACCACTGTCTGCACCGGTAACATTGCAGCATCCGCAGGTACCATCTGGAGAGACAGAGGAGCCAAGGTCAGCCAGAACCACACCCCCAGTCAGGTATGAGCTTTGGCAACCTTTCCCAACTTAAATTTGCCCTCTACTGGCAGAAAGGGAAGATAATTCATAGTTACTGAGCACTTAGGCTGTGCCAAGGGAGGACCTGGGAGTTGGACATATACTCTCATTTGACCTCACAACCTGGTAAAAGATGGGACACTGTCTCCATATTACGAGTCACAGGTGAAATGGCTTGCTCTAGCTCACTCAGAAGGCAAGTGGAGGATGATGACTCAAATTCTAGTCTCCCTAACTTCAAAGGCTGTGCTCTCCTTGCCATGCCACAATGAAGCCACCATTTCTGGACTTGCTGCTTCCTAAACACTGCTGACAGGGAAACGTTTGCCTTGGAGACTACACAGGAGAATAATGGTTTCTGTCAGCTGCACGGGGGCGAGACTACATCTGGCTTTTCTCACCTGCAACTGTATCTGCTCTATCATGGTCATCCAGTAACTATTCATGGAATATGAAGAGCAAAATACTCAATGCTTCATTGACACCTTGTCAGGTGAGCTCCAGGTTAAAATGCAGATTCCTTGGTCCACTGCAGACCTATTCAATTCTTTGGAGAAGCCTCTGGGATGCATTTTTAATCAGCATCCTGTGCAACCCTGCCCATAGGTGTTGAGAAGCACTGCATTAATGCAAGAAAGGTTTCCATAAGCATTTCTCCATCTGACAATACTTGGGGAAGTTCATAGGCCTGAAGTTAAGGTTAAGCCCATTTGAGAGATGAAGTAGTTCAAGCATTGCCCAAGTTACCCCGCTGGAGCTTGGGGCTGAGATTCAGGACTTCAGAGGGTCCTGACGGCTGAACTTCCTGAGGCCAGAGATGCTACCTCTTACATCTATGGTTCCTTCCACAATGCCAAGTGCACTCAGCCCAAGGGAGCAAGCTCAGCTGCTATGGCTACATAGGGACCCAGGTCGGCAAGGAAGCATCAAAGACTCTTGCCGCAGAGCCAGCACAAGAATTCCCTCCACAGTGGCCCCGACATAACATGCCCTGCCCCCCGTCCCCTACCCCTGCCTGACTGCACATCTCCAGGGAAACCAATCTTTCCTATTTTTGGAGACAGGGTCGTCTTGCTTTGTCACCCAGACTGGAGTACAGTGGCATGATCATGGCTCACTGCAGCCTCCATCTTTCAGGCTCAAGTGATCCTCCCACTTCAGCCTCCTGAGAAGTTGGGACTACAGACATGTGCCACCGCGCCAGGCAGGAAAAGGATCTTAACATCTTACCAGCAGCCGGTTCCACTGACTCTGACAGTGAAAAGGTTATCTTGACTTTCATGCATTAGTACCACCACTACCACCAGTAACAGCTCACATTTTTTCCAGTGTTTACCAAGTGCCAGACACTATGTGAACCTCTATGTGAATTATGTAATTCACGCTCTGCTCATAATCACCACATGATGGGGAAACTATTCAGAGAGCTGAGGCTCAGGGGTTGCACAGCTGGTAAGGAGCAGGGCCAGGACGTGGAAGTCCAGGGAGGATTCGCACTGTGTCCGACCCAGGCTCTTAACCACACTTCAATACTTCCTCGTTTCCTACAGAGCTCCAAGGAAACATCTCTGCCCTCTAGCCCTGCTCCACAGTGCTAAATGCCACGCGGAGCCCGGCCCTCGGTTCTCCCCTTCAGGTCCCGCCCCCTCGGGCCCCACCCCGAGGCCTCCCCTTCGGGAGCCGCCTCTTGAGGCCTCGCCTCCTCAGGTCCTGTCCCCGAGGCCTTACTATTCCCTCCTCCCCACCCCGCCCTTCCACAGGCTGCTTCTCAACCAGCCCCAACTCCCTGGCATGCTGCTTGGGCTGTCGTAATCCGCCAGGTCCGCCTCCCGAGACCTCGCCTCAAGGTCTAACCTTCCGGGCCCGCCCCTCGAGGCCCCGCCCCCAGGTCTAACCTGCGGAGTTCACTTCCCGAGGTCCCGCCCTCAGGGCCAATCTTCCGGGCCCACCCCTCGAGGCCCCGCCTCCGTAGCGGCTGACACCCCAGTCCCGCCCCCTGGGCCCCACACCCCCGGCTGACACTCCAGGCCCGCCCCTCGAGGCCCTGCCCCCACAGCACAGCACGCTGGGCCCGCCCTCAAGGTCCCCGCCTTGGCTGACACTCCAGGCTCGCTCCCTATGGGCGGTCCCCGCCGCCGATTCTCGCAGACCTGCCCTGCCGCCCGGGGGGCCCCGACCCCCCGCCTTACTCTCCGGGCCCGCCGCAGTAGCAATAGCATTGCTGCTGGTTGGTGCGGTGGGGCGAGTCCCACTCGAGCTCTTCGGGCTGGTAGGACAGCACCATCTTCACGGCCTGCAGCGTCCTGGCGATGGCGCCCTTCTTCAGCGCGCCGCCTTTCTGGGGGGAGACGAGGGCCCCAGTCAACCACCAGGTCCGGGTGGACCACGCGAGTCAGCACAAGGCTGTCTATCGAGGGAAGTGCTGCCAGGGTTTGGGGGACCCGCAGATATTCCAATGTAGTCAGAAAAGCAAGAAGCTTTTTCTCATTAATTCCAAACCCATCCCCTCTATCCCAGAAGGAACTCCGTTGATAACAGAATTAAGAGTAATAAGCGCAATAAAGGCAACAATTACCAACATGTATTTACATGGATTTTCTTTTTTAATAGTAAAGTATCATTTATTGGTCCTGTTATTCCCGACACCAAACCCATCTCCACTTTACAGTTGAGGAAACTGAGGCTCAGGGAGTCTACAAATCCTGGCCAAGGACAGTGGCAGAGGCGCTATCTGTCTCCAAAGCCCAGGTATGGCCCTTCTGCTTGGAGCTCAGGCTCTGTGATTGGAGTCTCTGCGCTGCCCCACTGGAGGAGGCAGGAGAGGCAGGGACTGGGGAGGATGAAAGGCTCACCCGCACAGCCAGTGCGAAGATGCAGCGTCGGCAGAACCAAGGTGTGAGCAGGGGCTGGTCAGCACTGCCCGCTATGGGGATGTGGCACTGCTGGTGGTAACCTACGGCAGAGGAGGGGGCAGTGAGCGCCCACAGGGACGCCGTGGCGCAAGGCCAGTTGGCCCAAAGGAGGCAGGACTGGGAAGGCTGAGGGAAGTCCTAGGAGCTCTGCCTGCCAGCTGCCGGGAGCCTGGCTGCTGATGCCCACCAAGGTGGCCAAGTCAGTGTCCAGGCTGGGAATTAAATGACAGCATTGGCCAGCTGGGGTGGGGAGGGGGGGCACAGGAAGGTCTGACTTCAGTGCCTGAGCCCCATCTTTCCCACCCATCCTCTCTGTTTAGCAGGGCCCCAAATTACATACACCATCATACCCTCCCAGCTTTCCCCAGGATCTCCTCCCGAGCCCTCACTCACAGCAACTGGCCCCCTTTCACCCTGGAGTGCCAAGAGAAACAGGAAGCCAGCAGAGGCCCAAACAGGCTGGAGCAGTACCCATCAGGGGCCAGTGCGTGGAGACCCATAGGTTGGGGCCTTCTCAGGGCCCTGCTCTCTCCACTCACCCAGGCCACACTTCCCGCAGATGAGGATCTCATTCAGCGGCCCTGATGTCTTCCCCAGGCAGATGTTGCACTTGGGCTCCTCTCCTGGAACGCCGGCTGAAAGAGAGGCCCTCGAGGGTCAGATCCAGCTCACAGGAATGAGAAGTTTTATACTCACTCTCCAGATGCCCAGCCTCTACTGTCTGCTAGGCCTAGCACTAGGCCCCACATGCCGCCTCACTGAATCTCCCCAACCACTCTGAGATGCCTATCATCATTACCATTCTAAAGATGGGGAAATTGAGGCTTTGAGAGGTTAAGTCCCTTGCTTAGCTAGTAAGGAGAGGATGGGATTAAACCCATGGCTATTTGACATCTAACCCTTTGTTCTTTTGACCACATCATGCTGCCTCTCCCGCCTTATTTAACTTGTTTTGTTAAATTGTCGTTAAATAATTTTTTAAAACTTTATTATGGGATAATATACCTTTTTTGTTTGTTTTGTTCAGATGGAGTCTCATTCTGTAACCCAGGCTGGAGCGCAGTGGCATGATCTTGTCTTACTGCAACTTCCGCCTTCCTGGTTCAAGCAATTCTCCTGCCTCAGCCTCCTGAGTAGCTGGGATTGCAGGTGCATGCCACCACGCCTAGCTACTTTTTATATTTTTAGTAGAGATGGGGTTTCACCATGTTGGCCAGGATGGTCTCGAACTCCTGACCTCAAGTGATCCGCCTGCCTTGGCCTCTCAAAGTTCTGGGATTACACATTATAACTAGAAGTTATAATGAAACTCCATCTTCTCATCACTTATGAACTCATGGCCAATCTCGTTTCTACTATATTCCCACCTACTTCTCCTTCCTGTAATTATTTTAAATTGAGTCTCAGATACCCAATAGATTTTCCATAAATATTTCAGTATGTATTTCTGAAAGATCAAGACTCTTTTTAAAAAACATAATTACAACACCTTTACTGCACGTAAAAGTTAACATAATTGCTTAATATCATTAACAAATTCAGTTAATTTCTCATTTCCAATTGTCTCTTAAGTACAAATGCCTTAATACTTTTAAATCTGTTCTTCTGAATCAAGGTCCCCAAGTAAAGTCCATACATGGTGACTGGCTGATGTTTTTAAAATTACTTTTAATCTACAGGTCCCCTCTCCATCTCTTCCTTTGCATTTTATTTTGGTTGAAGAATAAATATGTTTTTATGTGTGAAAGGTTTGTACCTATACATTAAACACATTTTGATATGTGTTTCTGTCTTCTTTCTCCAGCACGCTGAAAGTTTTGTAAGGGTAGAAATGGTATCTCTTCAGCCGGGCACAGTGGCTCACGCCTGTAATCCCAGCAGTTTGGGAGGCCGGGGTGGGCGGATCACAAGGTCATGAGTTCAAGACCAGCCTGCCCAATATGGTGACACCCCATATCTACTAAAAATACAAAAATTAGCCAGGCATGGTGGTGTGTGGCTGTAGTCCCAGCTACTCGGGAGGCTGAGGCAGAAGAATCGCTTGAACCCGGGAGGCTGAGGTTGCAGTGAGCCGAGATCGCGTCACTGCACTCCAGCCTGGGTGACAGAGCAAGACTCCATCTCAAAAAAAAAAAAAAAAAAAAGGCTGGGCACAGTGGCTCACGCCTGTAATCTCAGCACTTTGGGAGGCCGAGGTGGACAGATCACAAGGCCAGAAGATTGAGACCATCCTGGCTAATATGGTGAAACCCCGTCTCTACAAAAAATACAAAAATTAGCCGGGTGCGGTAGCGGGCGCCTGTAGTCCCAGCTACTCGGGAGGCTAAGGCTGCTGACCTGGGGCACAGATAGGAAGGAGCAAGTGAGAAAGGGTTGGGGAAAGCCAACCTGGAACATAGTCTTCCTTCCCCATTTTTGTCTCCCTAGTAAGTGGCAAAGCTGGTCCAAGGTCTACCTGACCCTAAAACCTGCTTCTTCCCCCTCTAGGGGCCATGGGTATATGGCCAAGCAGGAACCTTGCCTCTTATTCCTGAACATGCTCCCAGGAAGGTGGTGTCCACAGTGCGTCTCAGTAAGTCCTCACTGGCTTAATGAAGCAATGGATCAATAACTACAGTGGTGTTCAACCTTATGCTCTAATCTCAGGAGATACCGGAGGGTCACCATTCTGCCCAGAAGGGGCAGTTCTGGCTGAGACAAGCCATTCTTCAGCCGATCACTGTGGGTACCTCCAAGGAGCCTGATATGTGGTGGGCCTCCACAGGAGGTCAGCTAAGGTGCATGGTCTTCTCCATCTGGCTCCTTATGCTTTCAATAAGGGGGTAAACCAGGAGAGGAGATCCTCATTGCTTTGGATATTTATATAATACATTTCAGGGGTTGGAGAGGAATCGGTCTGCACTGGCCACAATTTCTTGGAGAAGGGGGCAATTTGAAAGCTTTACTAACTGGCTGGGTTCTGCAGCCTCTACTTGGCAGGCTTCTTGGAATCATCTCTTACGGTAACAAATTCTTTTTTTTTTTTTTTTTTTGAGACGAAGTCTTGCTCTGTCGCCCAGGCTGGAGTACAGTGGTGCAATCTCAGCTCACTGCAACCTCTGCCTCCTGGGTTCAAGCAATTCTTCTGCCTCAGTCTCCTGGGTAGCTGTATTTTTAGTAGAGACGGGGTTTTACCGTGTTGATCAGGCTGGTCTCAAACTCTTGACCTCAGGCGATTCACCCACCTTGGCCTCCCAAAGTGCTGGGATTACAGGCATGAGCCGCTGTGCCCAGTTGGTAACAAATTCTTGAGTAACAGCTTCTCTAAAACCAATAGCACTGAGCTAAGCATTTTACATGGATTAGCTCACTTAAGCCTCCCAACCACCCTATGAAGCCAGTAATTTCACTTCATCTTTCACATGAAGAAACTAAGACTCAGAGAGGTTGTATTACTTGCTCTGCAAATGCAGCTAGTAAGTGGCAAAGCTGGTCCAAGGTCTACCTGACCCTAAAACCTGCTTCTTCCCCCTCTAGGGGCCATGTCTCTTCTCCTGTTAGAGTATAAATGGTAAACATGTTTCTCCTCTCATGCCAACTCTGATTGACAGGTTTTGGGGCTCCATGTTGAAAGCACATGTGTTGTCAATGGCTACTGATGTCTGTTGTGTGTATAGGAAGGGAGAATGGTGGCAAAGATGGCCCTGACTTGCCATCTCTGTAAGGGAGAGATGTCAGCTTTCTGAAGGCAGGGATGGTACCCAATCCAGATTCCTTTCAGCCCTGAAAGCTGGTCTAGCTCCATCCAGGCATGTCCATCTTCACCCTGCCTGACTTATCTCTGCTTTATTGTTTTTTCTCCTATTCCTCCCGACTCCTTGCCCCGTGGAGAGGGCTGCTTCCACTAGTTTTATTCATATGTTAAATCGGGGATGCTGTGCTTGCATCTAGAGCTGACAATTCTGATTACCTGGACACGCCCCCTTTTCTAGCCCAGATTGACCCAGAGCTTTGAGCAGTTGGAGCTATAGTGTAGCCAGGATGCAAACACAGGCCTGAGGCCCAGTCTGGCCCTCCCAACACCTCCCTGAGCTACCTTCCCCACCTGCCCAGCCTCCCTCCTGGGGTATGAATCCTCAAGGGGATGACTGATGTCCTAAGTACCTTCCCAAGTCAATATACAACCAGATTAGATCATCATCACAGGGGGGCTTGGGGTTCATGGACAAGGGCAGATGCCAGGAGTAAGAGATGGAAGGAGAGAAGGAAGAAATGAAGGCAGCAGAGGAGAGAAGACCTGGTGAGGGTGGGGGCTACCTGAAATGTCAGGAAAACTCACCATGCTGTATGTCCTTCCATAGGACCCAGTATTTGGAATTATCTTCGAAAGTCACGAGGCAGCTTTGCTTAGAGCTGCTGACCTGGGGCACAGATAGGAAGGAGCAAGTGAGAAAGGGTTGGGGAAAGCCAACCTGGAACATAGTCTTCCTTCCCCATTTTTGTCTCCATATGCTCCAGAAAGCAGGGCTAGAAGGGGAAGGAGGATGGCAGTTCCTGGACAGGGTGTACTCCTTGTCATTGGAGTTGCACAGCCAGGGACCCATGGATGAAAACTTGGTCAGAATGTTGAGGACAGAAGCACAAGTCAGATGTTCCTCTGTGATCCTCTCGAACCTGACTTTTTTGCTTTGTAGGCTCTCAGAGCACTTTTCTAAAGAACTGGTTGGATGATGTTGACCCTAAGGATGGTGCCTGCAAGACCAGGCTCTGGCTCCTCCCACCACCAGCTTTGGGCATGAGGGACAAGAAGGGAATTCCCCGGCAATCCCCCTGCCCCCTGGTCTGACAGCCAGGCTGGAACATGAGCAGAGAGATGCTGAGCCTGAGAACAGGGGCCAGGGAGGACGAGTTTACCCTCTTGATCTTCCCGAGGTAGTACAGGCCATCTGTCCACCGGCACAGCACATACTGGCCCTCCGTCAGCTTGGACATCAAGTCTCTGAAGTTGTTCTTGACCTTCGCCAGGGCTCCCTTGTTGGGGAGGTGGCTGGTGGCACCATAGGAGTCCCGAGTCCCTGGATCCAGAGCTCGATTCTCCATCAGTTTCCCCTGACACTGGGAGAGGCAGAACAGGGTTTTTACTTCTTGCTTCCCTGCTTCAGAAATCCCATTAGGGGAAGGAAGGAAACCACCATTTCTGTATACTGTGCTATAAGCCAGACTTATTTATTATCTCACTAATTCCTCGTGGCCATCCTATGAGGGAGATATTACTATTCACGTCTTACAGATAGGCAAACAGGTGTGTCAAGGAGAAGAGGCTGATGGGCCAAAGGCAGAACCATGGCCCATACCACACTGTCTTTTAAAGAGAATGGATCTCTCAACCCACATAGAACAAAGTCCCCTACCCAGTGGGCCTGAATTGCTCCCTGTTTCAGGAGGCTGAGGTTTTATTCCTTAAGCAAACACACTCCATGTGCTCTGGATGGATGATCTTCTCCAGGGGAGCGGCTGGGTTTTATTTTTACCCCCAACCCCTGCAACCATCCCTACCCTGTCCAGAGAAAACTCACCTAGAAAGGAAAACTGGGTGGCTTGTAACTAGTGTAGCCTGGGTCATCTGTCTTTTGTAATCCCCCCTTCTGTTCTAAATTATGAGCTGATTTAATGGAAACCAATTCTGGGACATTTAAACCCACTTATGCTTTCACCCAGATACACATTTGCTCCAAGCAGTGAAGTCATCCATCCCCATGCCAGCCTCTCCACGCCTGTCTCTCACCATCCTAGTCAACGTGCAGTTCACCCATTGATTTCTCTCTCCCTGCTAGTGGCACTGCCTCCATGCATCTCAAACTCCTCTAAGCAATGAGTTGCGACAGCAGGCCATTTTAAGTGCCATGATTTCTGGTTTTCCAGCTCTAGCTTCCATCCTCCTGCCCTGGTCTGAGTTCAGGCCTCATCTTTTGCTTGGGCCATTCATTCATTCATTCATCACTCAGTAACAGTTTCCTGGGCCTTGTGCTCACCTCCACTAGGCATCTGGGGTGGAGAACGATACTACCTGCACCCAGAGCTAAACAGGTCGCTCCTGCATTCCTGCTTCTCCACCAGACTCATCCGCAGGGCCACCAATGTCCTTCCAGAAACCTTCTGGGGCTCCCCACTGCCCTCACTAGTGCTCAAAGCCGTCCCTAACGCCCCCTCCTTCCCTGCTGGGCTCACCTGCTTCCATGCCCCTCCACACACTCTCCACTACAGCCACACATAGCCTTGCTCTTTCCCCGAGGGCCTACTCGGGTCTCCTCCTTGTGGCCATGGCGCTGGGCACCTGGTGTTATGACTATCTGTTCACAGGGAGAGAGTCCAGTGCCTGTTTCTGCGTGGTGCCTGTGTGTACTCCTGTGCGACTGGGCAGGATGATGTCTACGGCATTGTGCCAGGGAGTGTGTGAAGCTAAGTACGAGTTTACGTGCGGGGCCCCGGGGCGAGCCCGGCACTGCAGTGGTCTCGGCTCCCCAGATGGTGGCGTGGCCACGACCCTCTCCACCCCCACTCCCATCTCCTTTCTCTCCAGCGCAGAGCGCATAGGCTCCCGCGCAGGGGATGCGGTCTGAACCCCTGTCCTCTCCATGCCACCTGGCTCGCTCGGCGCTGCGAGGTCCCCGCCCGCCCGGCCTACGGCCAGGCCGGGGCCGCTGCAGGTTCACAAACTGACACTTCCTCCCCCGCTGCGCCTCTGGGAGCCGGCCGGGTCGCCGCACCCGCCTCCACCCTGGCCGGGCGGGGGCCCCCGGGTGGCGCCCCCCCAGCCCCCGCCTCCGTCCTCCCGGAGCGGGCCCCCGCGGGCTGTGATTGGTTGATTCAAACCCATTTGCAAAGAAATGCCTGTTTGCGGGTTCCCGTCTGCGTCCAGTTCAAATCCGCGGCACCGGGAGCGCGGGGCCGGGCGGGGGCAGGAAGCGAGGATGATTCATGCGCCGGGGCCTCTCCCAGGGCGGCCGTTGGCTTTTTAAAAAGGGTGTTCAGGAGGGGGTAAAAAGCTTGCAGAAGCACCCCCTTCGGGTTCAGCGCTCCTCTCCTCAGTCGCTCGGACGCCAAGCCTCCCCCATCCCAACCCTGCCGCAGCCTGACTTCGGACGTGAGCGAAATGCCAAACGCTCGTCCGTCCTTCCCCCACCCCGACAGGAAAATTAAAGATCGGGGGCAAGGAAGAACGACCTGTCACCCACGCCCCCCGGGGCTCGGGAACCCGGGTGGGGCCCCTTTGCCCCGCAGGTACCCTGCACGCCCCGTCCCCACCCCCGAGCGCCCCGCTCCATAGAAGTCTCACCCCCCGGAGGCGTTCGGGCCGCCAAAGTTCAGGGAGATTTCGAAAAGAGTGGGATGAGGGCCGGGAGAGGAGAGTGTGGCGGGGAGTCCGCCCAACAGCGCAGAACTCACCGCGAGGCTGCGTGTCCGCCGGTCCCACTTGGAGTCTGGCCACCAGGCGCATCGGTGGCGGAGGCGGCTGCGCTCGGCCCGCGGCTGCCCGGCCGAGTGTCCGCCAGTGGGGCCGGGGTCGGGGTCTCGGCGGGGGCGGGGCGGGGCGGGGGCGCCGCGGGGAGGAGGGGGAGGCGGCGGAGGGAGGGGCCGGGGCGCTCAGGAAGGGGCCCCCCGGGCGCGGGGCGCCATCTTTTTCGCGTTTTCCCGCGAATTATTGACGTCCCGCTTATGTAATTAGCGGGGGCCGCGCCGGCCTCGCCATTGGAGCCCGCGGCCGCCGGGCCCCGCAGCGCCGCCCGCCCCCGCCCACCCCGCGGGCGCGCATCCTCCGCGGCCACTATCCCGGACCTGGGCCCCCCGCCGAGGAGCGGCCACACCGCGGCGCACACGGAGACGCCAGGCAGTGCGCATGGCGCACACTGCCGCTCGCACACTTGTTGAAGAAACACAGCTCTGCGCGCAGGCACCGGCGGACCCTGGCACAGACACACAGCAGGGCGGCGCGGACCCTTGGCGCAGACAGGCAGACACAGACCTAGGACGGCCAAACGGGGCACACAACAGCTTGCACTCACAGCACAGGCGTTCGGCACAGAGACACAGCCCAAGCGTAATGTAGATACACAACACACAGTGCACAGCGCACAGACACAGGTCAGAACACACCGCAGCATGTACAGGACACACACCACAAAGAGAAGTACTGTACACACCAGCCATAGGCATAGATACACAGGGAGGAACACACTGTACACAACAGAGACACCAGAGACACAACAGAACATGCATGTAAGGTAGACGGACATAACACATAAAGCCACAACGCAAGAACAACACAGGCGGGCAAGAGACACAAGTTTTCCTGAAACGGGGGCATTTAGATAGGTTGTGGAAATAGGTTGGTGGGTGTGCCAGGTGGAGGGAATTTAGTGGGCTAACAATGCAATTTTTAAAATATGGGTTAAGAATATCAAAAGGCAATTCACAAAAGAGGAAACCTACATGGCCGAAAAATAGCCCCAAACAACAAACTGCATAGACAGTGCACAGAAATACATGGTACAATCGCAAATATATGCCACACGCATAACACGTCATGTAAATAAAGGGCACACAATGAAAGATAACATGCACAAAGTCATAGGAATGGCAGATGGAGGCAGTGGGCAGAGCTCCAATCACAGGGTCCCTGCCCTGGGGAGAAAAGGCAGACATGGTTTCACCCAGACTCACTCTTGGGGGAAGGGGGGAAAAACGCTTACCAATAACCCCACCCCCATCCTTGTCCTCAGTCCACCGCGCCCACTTCTGTGGCTACCATCGCACTCTGCAGACACCCCCACCAGACAGGGACGTGTCCTTTCATGGGTGTGGCCTGTGGCCAGCACCTTCCCCCAGAGCCTTCCCTATTCACTGTCAGTTGCTCAGTCTGGGCCCTCTGCCTCCTGGCCTTGGAGCGTGATCTGTGCTGCCCCCCACCTCACCTTCTCAGCAGAGATCCAGGAATCCTCTCACCTCCTTCCTCATTTCCTTCCGCTCCTTGATCCTCCTGCTCTCACCTGCCTCACTGCCCCGTTCTGGATCCTGGGCCTCAGCAGAACCTAGCACTGCTGAGCACCTGCCTGAACCTGGAAGGAAAGCTTGGGAGCAGCCTCATGGCACAAAATCTCCCAATCCTGGAGAGCACATTTTCAAGTCCCAAAGGAGCCCTAGGATTGTGCTACTTAACCATGTTCTGCTCAGAGAACGTGTGTCCAACGCGGGTAGGGTTGATGATGGGAGCAGAACACTCCCACTAGCTTCTAAGCTGGCTGGGTCTGCCTTCAGGATGCTGGGGGACAGAGATGACAGAGGGAAGTGCTCACCTCTGAGGCTATAGGCCAGCTGCACCCACTACTGGCCATGGGAGCCTAAGTGTGTCACTTCAACTCTTTTTTTTTTTTTAAACAATTCTTGCTCCCGAGACTTTAACTCTTAAGCCTCCGTGTCCTCACCTAAATAGAGTTCTTGGGAAGGTTAGAGTTAATATATGCAAAGCCCCTGGTGCCTGGTGGGTGTGCAGTAAGTGATCATTGTATTAATACTTTCTTAAGAAATTCTGTATTTAGAATCTTGATGGCCCCACTGTGTGGGACTAGAGCACGGGGATGGGAGACACACAGGTGGATGGGAGACAAGGGACTGGCAATCTCGTGGAGGAGGTGGTGTTGATGCATAAATAAATAAGGGGATTGTGCTGTGAGATGCACATGGAATTGAATTGTCCTGGCTTCAAGTCCAGCTCTGCCTCTGAGCCAGGACGCGGTCTTGGGTTAGCTAGACCCTCCTACACCATGTTTCTTTGTTTAAAAGAGGGTAATAATACTACCCATCTCGTGGGGCTGTCGCATAAATGCTCAAATAAGACAATGAAGGAGCAGGTGCTTTTGTAAACTAAAAAGTTTGATACCAAAATAAGAAGTTAAAACACTACCGAACAGGAAATTATAAATGCCACGAGAAAGGTACAGTGTCACCAGTGATTGTTTAGAGGCAACTCTAACTTTGAATTGAGGAAAGAGAATAAGTTTCCCAGAAAAAGTAGCATTCAGTTAGGTTGTGGAAACAGGGAGGTGGGTGTGCTAGGTGGAGGGAGTTTAATGGGCTCATCAACGATCCAATTTTGAAAATACGGCTTAAGGATATCAACAGGCAACTCACAAAAGAGGAAACCTAAATGGCTAAAATAACCTAAAATGTGAAAAGATGTTCAACCCCATTGGCCACGTGAGAGATGCAAATGAAGAGAACTGTGATACACCATTACACATCCACCAGATGGGCACGGTAGTCGAGTCTGTCAATACAGGGGAGTGGGGGGTGAGGATGTCGCACGGTGGGAACCCTCAAATGCCTATGGAGATATGAACTGGCAAAACGATTTTGGAGAACAGTTTGGCAACATGTAAGAAAGTGGAAGATACAGCTACAATTCAATGACTCCACTCCAGTCATTCAGCACATAATTGTGAAAATTTAGAAATTAATGAATTATCCATGAACAGCAGTCCAGATAGGCCGGGCAAGGTGGCTCATGCCTGTAATCCCAGCACTTTGGGAGGCCGAGGGTGGATCACTTGAGGTCAGGAGTTCGAGACCAGTCTGACCGATATGGCGAAACCCCATCTCTACTAAAAATACAAAAATTAGCTAGGAGTGGTGGTGTGTGCCTGTAGTCCCAGCTACTTGGGAGGCTGAGACAGGAGAATTGTTTGAACCTGGGAGGCAGAGGTTGCAATGGGCGAAATTGTGCCACTGCACTCCAGCCTGGGTGACTGAGTGAGACTCTGTCTCAACAAACAAACAAACAAACAAACAAACAAACAAACAGCAGACCAGATAGATTAATTGTGATCTTGTCATACAATGGAATAATATACTGGGAGTAAAAATGAACTAAGTCTGTAGCCTCAACATAGTTACACTCTAGTGGCATAGGTACGGTGTGACACAAATGATACAAAATGTTTCTTAATGCATTCAGCTGGGCCCGGTGGCTCAAGCCTGTATTCCAGCGCTTTGGGAGGCTATGGTGGGAAGATCGCTTGAGCTCAGGAGTTCAAGACCAGCCTGGACAACATGGCGAAACCCCCATCTCTACTAAAAATACAAAAGTTAGCTGGGCATGATGGCATGCACCTATAGTCCCAACTACTTGGGAGGCTGAGGTGGGATGATTGATTGAGCCCAGGAGTTTGAGGCTGTGGTAAGCCATGATTATACCACTGCACTCCAATCTGGGTGACAGGGAGGGACTTTCTCAAAAACAAACAAACAACAACAACAACAACAAAAACCCAAAGAAATACAAAATAAGCTACGTAGATATTTTGGGGCTACAGACAGGTAGTAAAAGTATTGAAACATGCATGGGAAATGAAAGACCCCAGACTTAGAATAGGGTAACGTTTAGGAAGGGAGGGAAAGGAATGAGATCAGAAGGAAGAACACAGGGGGTTTAATTCTATCTGTATGTTTTATTTCTTAGAAAAGATATTAAAATTTGAGGCAAATATGACCAAGTGTCAAGATGTAACAGAGCTGGGTGGTTGATCTATAGTTCTTTCTGATCCCTCTCCTTCTCAAGTCTAAAACTTTTCCGTGTTTGAGATATTTGGTGATTTTAAAGATGGAAGGGGCAGGAAGCTATGAGGAGATTGTAGCAGAGGAGATTTTGATGATAGCATTGCTTGTTAGGTGTGCAGGGTGGTTACAGTGCACAGTGTCCCCTCATGCATGGGACTGATCACCCTTCTTATTTGTTTTATTTATTTATTTGAGACGAAGTCTTGCTCTGTCACCCAGGCCGGAGTGCAGTGGCACGATCTCAGCTCACTACAACCTCTGCCTCCTGGGTTCAAGCAATTCTCCTGCCTCAGCCTCCGGAGTAGCTGGGATTCCAGGTGCATGCTACCATACCTGGCTAATTTTTGTATTTTTAGTAGAAGATGGGGTTTCACCATGTTGGCCAGGCTGGTCTTGAACACCTGATTTCATGATCCACCCGCCTTGGCCTCCCAAAGTGTTGGGATTACAGGTGTGAGCCACTGCCCTTGGCCCACCCTTCTCTTTTAAAGCTTGTCACAGCTTGGTGAGCCAGGTGTGGCAGGCATCAGGTCCATTTTGCAGGGGATGAAATGGAGGTTTGGAAAGGCGTAGCGATATACTCAGCGTCACACACAATAGAGAGTCAGGGCTTGTCCCCTCTGCTTAGCAGTGTCTCAGCACCTGTCTGTCTGAGGAGACCACCAAAGGGCCAGAGAGCCCTGAGAGAAGATCCCCCGCCTCCCAGTAACCTATGCTCTTCCTTCTGCTGTGCTATTCTATGTTTTCTTTCAATTTAGGACAATTTGGAAAATGTCAAAAAGCATGAGGAAGAAAATAAAAGTAA